ACCCAGGATGCCCAAGCCAAGCTCACCAGGGGCCCCTTGGGCTCCACCTGGCGCTGGGCACCAAACGCCTTCGTCACATTGGAGCCTGTGGAGGTGGCAGGGGAAAGTTGGAGCAGGATGGAGCAGGGACCCCCTTTGCCTCTCCTCCTCCTCGCCCCCCATAGGGGTACCTGGCCCAAAGTCAACAGTGGCATAGAGCCCCTGCAGCGTGCCGCAGCGCAGCTCCTCCGCCTGCGTGCTGTCGGTGGTGAAGAGCAGCACCTCGCTCCCCAGCAGCGCCCGGAAGGAGCCCAGCAGGTGCCGCAGGTACCCGTAGTCACAGGCGTAGTAGCTCCCATATTCATTCTCCACCTGTGAGCAGGGCAGGGCCGGCACCCAGCGTGCATGCGGCAGGGCTGCAGCCAGGTCCCACCGCTCACGGGACAAGCACCCAGCTCCCCAGTTCCCTCCTGACATCATCACATGCCATTACAGCTCCCAGGTGGGTCCCCAGACCGACCTTCCAGCCCCACCATGACCCCCAGCTCTGCCAGTGCCCCTCAGACCATAACCAGGGTGGTGGCAGGCACCCCAGAGTCCCAGCCCTTGGATCTAAACTCAGGTCCAGGGATGAGGAGGAGAGAGCTCTTCAGAGCTGTGATGGATGAGGGCATGGTGTAGGGGTACAGGTGGCTTTCTGGGACACATCCAAAGAAGACCCAGAGCAGGGCAGGGGGCCGGCACCTGCACCCTACAGCACCCTACCTGCACACTGATGATGTTCCCCCCGTGCTGGTACAGGCGTGGCTTGATCTTGGGTAGCAGGACATGGAGCCAGGAGTCCACTCTTCAGAGCTGTGATGGATGAGGGCATGGTGTAGGGGTACAGGTGGCTTTCTGGGACACATCCAAAGAAGACCCAGAGCAGGGCAGGGGGCCGGCACCTGCACCCTACAGCACCCTACCTGCACACTGATGATGTTCCCCCCGTGCTGGTACAGGCGTGGCTTGATCTTGGGTAGCAGGACATGGAGCCAGGAGTCCACAGCTGCCAGGTAGGCTGGGGACAGAGGGCGGCTCAGCCCGGCTCAGCACCCACCCCAGCCCACCCGCAGCCAGCCCTTCAGGAGGATGGAGCAGACAGGACTGGGCCAAGCATGACAGAGAAGCAGAGGTGGAGGAGGAACTACAGGGCTCCCAAAAGATGGAGAAGAGGATGGGAGAGACCACGCCCGCGGGACTGATGGGTGCAGGGAGAGGGAGCTGTCAGGACACAGGACACGGTGCCAGAGCGCCATGTCAAGGCTCACCAGGGTCCGAGGAGCGCAGGACGATGTCTGGTTTCCACAGCAGCCAGGCAGGCAGGCCACCCTGGAGAAACACCCATGGCAGAGAGGGAGACCTGCCTAGGCT